CCAGCAGCAGCAGCAGCGGCAGCAGCAGCAGCGGCAGCAGCAGCAGCAGCAGTGGGGAGGATCGATCTTTGAGCCCGCGCTGCAGCAGGGCTGTTGCTGCAACAACAAAGCCAGAAACGGCCAAATTGGCAACAGCAGCAGCTGCTGCAGCAGCTGCTGCAGCAGCAACACCAAAGCAGCAGCAGCAGCATACGGCAACAGGCGCAGCAGGGGCGAGCCTTCTGAAATGCAGCAGCAGCAGCTGCAGAGGGACCAGCAGCAGCACTGGCACAATTAAAGCAACAGAAGCACTATCAGCACAAGGAGCAGCAGCAGCAGCAAAGGCAACAGCAACACTAGTACCAACATAATCAGCAGTAGCAGCAGCAGCAGCAGCAGCAGCAGCAGCAGACTGACTGAGCTTCTGCGGCAGCGGCTTTCCTTCAGCTTTGGCCTCCAGGGCCTTGACTATGGAGTAGCAGCTGAGTCTGTGTTCGTCCTTGCAATAAAAATAAACAAATAAATAAATAAACAAATAAATAAATAAATAAATAAATGAATAAATAAATAAATAAAATATATATTGGATGTTAACGTAGATATATAGATGTATGCATATAGATCTATAATTCTACACAAGTGAACAGCAACAAATATATACATACATCTGCAGCAGCAGCAGCAGCAGCAGCAGCAGCAGCACACCTGGACAAAGAAGACGTAGGGCCCCTTGCTGCTCTCCAGGCACTGCCGCAGCGCTGCCAGCACTTCGCAGCGCAGCGCAGCAGCAACATGATTCACCAGCGCGCACAGCGCCAGGCTGTCCCCAGACCTGCAGCAGCAGCAGCAGCAACAGCAGCAGCAGCAGCAGTGGCAGTGGAGGCAGCAGCGAAAGGAGGAATTGGGGGAGTCGCAGGCGCGCTGACAAGTAGAGTTCCGCCTGGTGGTTCGGGCCTCTGGTTGCGGCTGAAACTCCAGCAGCAACAGCAACAGCAGCACCAGCAGCAGCACCAACAGCAGCAGCAGCAGCAGCGGCAGCAGCAGCAGGGCACCTGAGGGCCCTCGAGACGGAAGCCTGCAGCACGAAGAAGAGATCTTCCATCATTGTGCTGTAGAGACACTCCCCGCTTGCTGCAGCTTCTTCTTCTGCTTTCTTAAGTGCTGCAATTCGCTGCTGCTCTTCTGCTGCTGCTTCTGCGGGGCCCCCAGGGCTCTCCGGGGGGCGCCGCGCTGCTGCTGCTGCAGCTTCTGCTGCTGCTGCTGCAGCAAACGGCAGCTCGTCTTGAACCTCCAGCGCCTCCCGCACGGCCCTAACGAACCCACACGCAGAAACAGCAGCACCACTTGCTGCAGACACGGAAGCAGCAGCAACAGCAACAGCAACAGCAGCAGCAGCAGGTGGCTCACCAGAGCATCAGCGCGTGCTCCAGTGCGATATACTCCGCCACCAGCTCCTCCCGCCTCTGTATCAGGGCCGGATGCTCCATCTGACGGACCTGTAGCAGCAGCAGCAGCAACAGCAGCAGCAGCAGCAACAGCAGCAGCAGCAGAACTGAACCAGTCGGGAATCCGTACGCCTACATATCCAGCCTAAGACCCTAAACCCTAAACCCTAAACCCTAAACCCTAAACAGAAGTAGCTGTCTGGCGCCACATTGTGCATTTGTATCTTTTTAGTAATGTCTGTGTTGCTGCTGCTGCTGTTGCTGCAGATCCTGTGCTGCTCATGATGCTGCTGTTTCTGACCTGCTGCTGCGTCAGCATTTGGGCGACAGCGTTACTCTCCCCACGCGCGCGGCTGCTGCTGCTATTGCTGCTGCTATTGCCGTTGCTGCTGCTGCTGCTGCTGCTGTTGCTGCTATT